TAGTTCTGGGACGCTTTTGACCCATCGGTTCACTTGAACCGCACTACTCCATCTACGGTCAGGCTTCGCTACCTCAGGACTTCACCTAAGAATGAGGCACTATCTACGGTAATAGGCTCCGAGATCATGGATGCTGATTACCAGTTGGTCGCTACTATCTTATAGGATACTTATTTCCATCCGTGTCCCTTTGTGTCCAACTGAGTAGTCGTTTGTAGTAGTTAAAACCAGCAACGACTTTTGTGCTCACTTAGCGCATTACGCTAGCGTGGGTCAGGTCGCTATGGCTCCAACTCGAGAGATTTGGAGGCCATGACGGCAATATCTACGCGATGCGCATAATACGTAATAATTTCCATCAAGATTTTAGAACGTGTAGGAGATACCCAGATGAAGGACCCTTCCCCTGGAGGAGAACATCGTCTTCTCGAGGCTCTTGATCAAGTGATCCGAGCCTTTGAGGCGTCGATGACTCCATACTAGACGGAGCTTCTTCGTTATAGGCACTAGCGTTGCTATCTGACTAAGGAGGACATCGAGGCGGAGTCAGGTCTCCCTCTCGTAGATCTCCACCTTCTAGTGCTCTAAATTATTCTTGCACCCGTTCGAGCACCTCCTCGAGGCGCTCAAAGCGGGATTTGTATGTCTCTACGGTTTGCGTATTCTACAGGTCCAAGCGCCATTGTGTTTCATAGTGTGACCCTGTAACATTATGCATGGCTGGTGAAGGTTGTTCGTTAGGACTGTTCAAGCTTCGGACGCCATCTGGTAGAGGACTGTGATCGAGCAACTTTTCCTTCATGACGGGGCAATCGTCCCAGATCACTCTGCCGCAAAGAAGCCCGACAATGTTACCGTGCAACCTATAGCAAGTCATCCAGGTTACTCAGTGGAAGAAGGTTACCCAGGTCGTATCGTTCACTAAGTGAGCGAGTAAGATCGTCACGACTGGATCAATTATCTTCCTTTATACCCAGGCGCAGTTTTTCATACTTCCTCTTCAGTGCATACCGTTTTCGCGATTCCCATCAGAACCGTGTGAGAACGACAGCCTCATAGCCGTAGTATGTAGAGGACCTTGTGGACGACGAGAATGAAGACCCTTTATCTGACTCGAATGATGTCCACTGCTCATTTACGCGTAGTCGTAAGTAGTCATCAGGCAATTCACGTCACCTAGCAGCCATAGTCTGATCGCGTAATAACATCACGCTGTACGATAAGTTACTTGTACCACGGCTATATAGCGGAGCACAGCATAGCTTATTAAAAGCTGTTAGTGCGTAAACACTTGGGCTTTACTTTACTGATCCGCAATTATCATCATGCGAAATGTGAACGTTTCACGACATTCGAAGTCTCATATTTCGCGTAGGTTGCTTTGCGAGGACGAATGAACGACAACCTTGTCCTTCGTTCCAAACTTGCAAGGTTACTCTATCTGTCCTCGTAGGTATGTGCATTTCGAGTCGTGAAATCACTCGTTACCTTATCCCAGCAGTCCGGTCCCCTAGGAGGACGTCGATGCTGACGCACTCATTGAGATCACTGCTGCAAGACTGCTGACTTGATCAAAGTCAGAAGGTTGCCATCTGGGCTGATTATCAGCTTTACGAGCGTCAGTCCAGTGAGTGGTATTAGGTTCAGGGTTGTATTCGCGTGTATGCTCGTGTATGTGTTTAAGTGCTTGTTTGTGAGTAGTTGCGTGCTTGTTTATATAGATTTGTTCGTGCGTGTTATGTTCTGAGCACGTTTCCGTAAATCCATCACCAGGGCCCGTGATACGGACGTGTGAAGAGTATGCAAACTCTGATCCGAGTATCAGGCAGCCTCGGATTTCGAACTTCTATCTATAAATGATAGTATCATGCCGAGGCACGATGACGAAGTAAATGCCGAGGTCATTTAACATCTTTACAATGTCCAGGTCATTACATCATACATGTTCAATTTCCATGGGAATAACATCATCCACGGTTATGGACAATAAGTATGTTGCCCTGAAACGGCTGCAGCACCAGCAGGATACTCCTCATGACGATGAAGAGTTGTGGGTTCAGTATTGCGAGGCGTTTCAGAACCAGGAGTAGTCTTCTATCATTGAGGAAGTGAAAGAGTTCAGCCTCGACGAACCGCTAGCATATTATATGCCTTATCCGGCAGTTCTCAGGGCGAACGACGTCACGACCGCAATGAGAGTCGTCTTTGATGCTTCCAGTCATCAGACGGAACTATCCAACCTCAGCGATTGTTTGCATCAAGAACTTACCTAACTATCAGATTTAGCAAGTCATTCGTTACAATCCTGTGAACCGCATTTCCTCGTCATTAGTGATCTAGAAAAATGCGTTTCATTACATACGCCTCCAGAAAGATCAGTAGGGCGTTAGTAGGACTCTGTGGCTAAAGCACCCTGCATTTTCATTTGACAGTGTCATTTTTGCTTCATGCGCGTAGCATTTAGCATTAATGTTTCGCCATTTTTGCTCAACATGTATACCTAGCACGCGTTTGTACACAATAATTTTAGTTCAGTATGCGATGAAGTTCTTGTGAATACTCGTGCGGATAATGTGCTCATCGGTGTCAATGGCACTGAGGAGTGCGTTAGGAAGCAAAGGAGTGGGAACAAATCTTCTATCACTCGGACATGAACCCTAAAAAGTTCACGTTCGATTACTCGGCTGTAACATACTAGATTCCAGAGCAGATCGTATGAACATCACCTGTGGGACGCACGAATTACTCGGTTCGAAGCAGAATCCTAATTGGGAAACTCTTCATATTCGAGTATTCCTGGCATCTCATTCGGTTACGATGAAACGCACCGCTCTCAGAGCGATCGCGTTCGATTTCGACCTTCCTGGTTATCCTTTCATTATTTGATTATTTGTTTAGGCTAGATTCTTATGCAGGACCTTTGGAAAGGACGGCTTCTTGTTTGATACGCTTCTTGTAAAGATGTGTTCAGTTAAGCGGCAGAGGGTTGTGAACAGCATTAAGATAAAATTTGCTCCCTATCAAGGGTAGCTGCTTGTTGTCGAAAGGATGCTGTGCATGAACCTTCGTTGCTTACGGATGCTTCCAAGAAAGTGCATTCAGCGGTAGCTTACCCATTGAGCAGTATATCAGGCTCATTTTCCCTACGTCACCTCCTTATAGTGAGACGAGGTCGGCTTCCATCACGGAAACCACTGTACCTCGCCTAGAATTGACGGCACGTGATTCATTTGCGACACTGGCTCAATTCCACCCAAGGAGCTGACGATTAACATCAAAATTATTTGACTCCTTCTCGATTCGTATATATATACTCTACTGCAATCATAAGGATTGTTCTGCGGAGATGTTTGTCGACATTTCAGTCCAGCAGATTCGCTGTACATTGGATTATTTGTTTAAGGAAGATTGGCGTTTAACTCTTTTTTTTTCACTGACTTTCACCAGGATCCAACCCAACAGATCGTGTGACCAGAAGACTCTCTAGGAGTGTTTTTTGGACACTTCTGGTGGGCACGCCTTAATATTTTATCTTCCTCGACTCCGGAGACGGAGATCGAGTTTTTAGTTTTCTCTTAATACGAGATCATCGTTCAGTGTCACCGTTTGAAAGACCAACGACTTCCACAAGTTATTACGTTACGCAGTTTTTCCTTTCAAGTCACTTAGGAAGCTCATTCACTATCGAGTTTTATTGTGCAGCCAAGCTCGCTTGGATTCACTGTACTGCTTGTAGGACTTGTAGCTGTGCTTCAAATTTAAGGTCAGGATGTTGGGATGGTTGAGTCCCTACTCTTTCGAGTCGTTGGCGGGAGAGTGCTACTCAACTATGTCTATATCCAAGAAGACCCATGACGATCTTCATGTCATCATTCGAAGGCCAAAGCCTAACATGGTAGATGAGGGAGTATCAGCTCACTCTGTTGAAACTCCATGTGCTGACAGCATGAGATCCGACTGAAAAGATTTAACAGCAGAAGCCGAGGACATATTCTATGTCACAGACGCTTCCTAAGAGGATTCCATCACTAAAAGTAGTGGATGGGACACACTCGAGATAAGTTTGTGTCAATTTCTAACTATTTAGCTGAGTTTTTCTCTATTTAGATTAGTCTTCCTTTTAGTCAATTTGATTTTTCCCTTTTAGACTAATTTCTTTTCTTCTACCAGTTTATAGTCGTTGATTTACTCCCATCCTTGTATTTATCTTCCCTCTTTCTTCTTACCCTTTTTCTATTCTTCCTCCTCTTGTCAGTTTCTTCTCTCGATCTGTTCCTTTCTTCTGCCCTTTATCCTCATCATTATGACGAGAATGGGGGCATATGTCCTCTCATTAGCGTGTCGTACCCTTAGGCAGCAATGGTGTACCAAGGTCAACACCTACGGTACACCGGACGTCGCCTCAGGACTCATTGCCCAACGCTGTTCGACCATGGCATTTCATAACAACTGCAGGACTTGGCTGGCATTCGCCATTTGTAACACCTTCGTTTTCGATCTTGCCGTTTTGCTCTCGTTCCATCGTTATATCGCAGAGTTTTTTTTCATCTTTCTGTTCCATTGTCGCTATTGTGTTGTGCTACATCTTGCATTATTTCGTATAGGCTTTCAGAAGTTTATTCTATCACTGCCTTCTTATTATGGCTCGAAGATCGCGTCGTGTCAGGGCGAAGAAAGCGTCGCAAGGAACAGCTCCACTACCTGCGACCGCTAGTTTGCCTGTTGTTCAAATGCCGCCTTCTGTTCAGGTAAGTGACTTTGACAGTGCTAATTCCTCTTCAATGTCTGTTCCACACAATATTCTTTCTTCTTCCTCGTTGGATAATTACGACGTTGTGGATATGGAATGCGAACCCATCGTGCCTTCCGCACGGGGGATGGCAGATCATCCACCGGCCGTGAGTACCCAAAACAAGTAAGATATAATATTGTCGAGTAATTTGCCTGTCAGTGCGCGTGCGCAGACATTGACGCCCGTTGTTTCACAGCAGCAGGCAGACATGTCTTCGTATGCAGTTTCTAAGGTTAAGACTGTTCGTACGCCCTTCGTCAAACCAAAAGATCCAATGCCAAAGGCGACTTTCGCTTCTACAGAGACGAGGGACGCACCTACAATCGAGACCTCCGTGCCTTCTGTTGTGGATAGGTCGCAAGCACCGGTCGATACATCTGATCTTCGCGTGCCAACCGTGAAGCAACTTAAGGATATACTGCGTAGTGTAGTGCTGAAGATGCGAAAAGCCCACGAGGAATATCGTGGGGAGTACGGAGACTTAGTGCTGCACGTCACTAAGCGTAGCCAGGTGGAATCGAAAGACATTCCATTGAAGCTTAATCGGTCCATTGGAGATGTCTGTCCTCCTCCACCAGTCACGCCTAATAGTTCGTACTTTATCAATGCCAGTTCTATCGAGGAGTTGACTGCGAGACAGCTTAGGGTTTCCTATGAGTTTGTGGCTCGTCAGTTGTCCGAGATTCCACCTCGGATACTTGAAGAGTTTGCTCCAGAGTGCTCCTATGATAGTATTGTTGCAATCGTCAATTCGCACCGTCTAATTAGTTCATCGCTCGATAACGCTGTTAAATTTATGGAAGAATGTTTGGTCACCTTTAAAGGGGATCACTGGTTCAAGGGTAATTATGTTTATTTGGCAGCATGGAGAGCGGAATTGTTCCATTGTCTAACAGCGATCACGGTTCATAGAGAGGTTCTTCAGGAGGAAATTTTTTCGCACTTTTTCGACAACAATGTGGACCGTGACGAGTTTTGTACTGCGTTAGAGTTGCAGAAAGTCTCCGTGGACACACTTCTACCTCTGCTTCGCCGTACATCTGCCATTTGTGCGCACCTCATGAGATTGATCCGCTGGATCGAGTTTCACCAACAGGCACTCCTTGAAGATCACCGTGATGCAGATCCAGAGGCGGTTAATCTCATGACGTGTTACGGGATGGGGATTATGTCGTCTTATGAGGAAGACTCCGTTCCGGAATACCTCGAGTGGTGGAGGAAGAAGTATGACCAGGAGTACAGATCAAATAAGAGATTTCGTCGCCTTACAGTGGAAAGAGTAGAACAGATTATTATCGAATCTGTTCCATCTCAATCCGCTGAGGCATCAAACGTTGAACCTGGAAGGCCCCAGTTCAAGTCGGGAGGCTTCGGACCTAAAAATCCTGAACCCTCCTCGGTTCAACGACAACAACAAGGGCCGACGCCTTCATCTAGACATTCCGCATACCAATCGCCAGCTATTTCTCGACCCTTCGATGGCGCTCCTTTCTCTCTGAGTCGGGAGGATGGACCCCACGGGTCCAGATCCCCGAGTCGTCGGGGCGGATCCTCGAGTCGTCGGGGTAGATCCTCGAGTCGTCGGGGCGAGGAGGCTGGAAAAGGAGACGAGTAGCTAGTGGAAATAGGTATAGCGACGTCGATAGAGATCGAATGGAGGATTATCAGTCGCAAAATTCAAGTTTGAGTATTGCTTCTTCGGCACTGCAGTCTTACATCAACACAGCAGGTGTCTCGTACTTGGACATCCCTCCACGCGGTCAGCGATACTCGCCGCATGCGAGACGTAGATCTCGCTCGGTGAATAGGCGATCCTCTTGGAGAGGAGAAAGAGACCGAACTAGGACACCTTCTCGCGACCGGAGAGACCGGAGGTAGCGAGAGGGACGTACTAGTTGGTCGCCAAGTGCGTTAATACGTCCGGATAGTGATTTGGTTCCATACGTTACTGCGTTTTCAGGCATAATCGACGGACATTGTGTTTCGACTTGATTGTTTGGCAGTGAGGTGTGGAGGTAAGTTTCCGTAGGTAAGNTTGGTTGTCGTAGCGCTTTGTCAGTTTCTTATGTCTGTATTCTAATGCGTGTTTAAAGTGCACCCCTAAGGTGCACACCCCTGTTTGTCGTTTAGGTATTGGTCGATTCGTTGGTCAAGCGGTTGGTTGTCCGAGGAAGTTGGGTGAGATAGTGGTCAACGAGTCGAGTGGTTGAGGACGACAATTACTGATGGGCAAGATGGTGTTGGTCGATGTCGGGTTCGATCGTTGGTCGCCGGAAGTTGGTTATGGTTCGACGCGAAAGTCACGGTCGAGTCAACGTCATCGAATTCAACACCAATGTCGAACTCAACATCATGTCAGTCGAAGCAGGCAGTCAAGTGGTCAGCGGTTGGTCGTCAAGGGAAGATAGTGAAGGCAACGACATGTCAAATCTTCCATCGTGTAGCAGTCATATTCTACGCTTATTTCTCTTCTTCAAGTTACCCTTAGGCTCCCTCAAGGATGTGGTAGTGAATCGCTCCTAGTGCTCTCACTTACATTCTAGTGTAGACTGTGATTGTTTAGTGCGTAACTATGTTACTTTGCTTTTTTACTTTTGTTTTTTGTTCACTGGTTTATTTGCTGCTCAGAGCTGCATAGGATGTGTGTTCATTGTGTGTCCTCAAAGCACACTTTACGTGTCCATCTCTCTCCCTCTTAGCCGTGAGATCTCTATTTTCTTATTTCCTTCCTGCTTCCACGACACAACACGAACCTAGGGTAGGAAGATGTGTGCAGGCATTATGGCAAGAGGGTTAAGTTTCTTCAGCTGTGTTTAGGGGGTTTCTATCTGACTGGCCTTAATCCTGGGGGCCGGTGTGTGTCTATTATTCCTGGTGGGGCACCGTGGCCCCGCTCACCCCCTGGGCCGGCTTCTCGCTTGCCTTGGGAGTGTCGCGGATGCGACGGTGGCCGCTGGGCGCACCGCGCGCGCCCCGGCCCATCTTTGCTCGGCCGCCACAGCGCGGCGCGTATGTGCGCGCGTTGTGCGCGTTCCTTCGCATAGCCTAGTCAGTCGTCACTCGTCGTGCACCGCGACCGGCTGGCTGTCGGCTGCTGGTCGGTATACCCGGGCAACGCTGTGAAGGTGCCTATAAGGCACCGGAGCGCCAGTATAAGCCCGACCAGTATCCGAGCACCCCACTCCGAGGGCGTGCAGTTGTCACCTGTCGGATACTGTGGAGGAAGGAAGGCAAGAAGACCGCCGAGGCCAATGGGGGCCTGGAATGGACAGCTGAAGGAGCTTGCCCTGAAGGAAGCCTGAAGATCGAGGGATAGGTGAGTGTCGTGCTTTGTATATATGCTGTATATATATATTGCGTCATTGCCATATTTGATATGTTTCATTCTTGCTAATCACTTTATTCTCTTGTGGTACTCTTTGGCTCTGGCCCACATGTTCTTCCCTATAGTGTAGTTCCTATCCAGTGTTTCGTAGTTATAGTCTATTTCGTAGTTAGCATAATAAACCAGTGTTCCTTACTTTTGTACTTGTCCTGGGGAAGTAAGTAAGGTAGGGCACTTTAGTTGGTCGCGACGGGAGAAGTAGGTTATGTCGCCGCGTTCAGTCAGCTGATCCCTGTGTCGGGGGCAGGGATCTCGTCGCGAGGTTCTAGGCTGAGACCGCTCGGCAAGGCTTGGCCTTCCCAGCCGACACCTCTTGGTCCTCGGGAGGTTGGTCCGCCCTCCGTCTCGGGGCGCAGGTAGGGCGTGGTGGTCCGGTGAGCGAGGAGGTTTGAGGTGCTCGTACCGCCGATGCGGATCGCGCTCCAAAGGGTGGCCATCAACTCACGACAACTCAATTGGTTGTTTATCCCTATTAGCCAATTCATCCAGGATCCATGAAGTTTGCTCCCATGATGCTCCGACCTCAAATCGCTCAAATTATCTGTTCCTCATTACTTAGTTGATATTATGAAGGCTGATTAAAATTCTTGCTCTGAAGCGTAGTCACATTACATTTTTATGACCACTTGGGCTAAAACACGCTAACGCTCGCATGACAACAAGGAACGTTTTTGAGCAAAGCTATGCTATGGACTTCTGATCTCTCCTTAGCTTCACCTATTAGACGCAGGTCCTGCTTACTTTAAGGATTTGGCCATTCTTCTTCCAATGAACTATAACTCATTTTTACGGTTTGAGAGCAATTTTCAACGATACAAAATTTTCATTAAAGCCTTGCACTTCCGATAGCACCTACTGCAGGCGTGAACAAAACATCGCTTCTTTCAGGCGGCTTAGGTCCTGGGTTTTCTTGGTCTTGGGATCGTGATGGAACCGACTTATGAATTAGTGTGAAAATTAACACCCAATAGTGGGTGCTCTACCTACAGTAAGTGACCCCTTCGTTTTATTTTTTGACCTGTTCCTTACATTTACCCACTGTTTTAATTACTCTGTATTTGAATCAAGAAGCGACAACTTGATGCGCTCGTTTACTGTTACTATTTCGTCGCAGTATAATTAGATGTGGCTTAAGGCTTTCAGGATGGGGAGGACGAGATGGGTCTCGGTAGTGCAGGGGATTAAAAGCAGGTGTCGGGAAGCATGAACACGGCTTCGAGCGCCAACTCAGGCCGAAAATTTGAAATCATGAACTTTTGCTTTTGGTACCGTCCCTCCGGTGCATATCTCACACCCCGTGGGCGGACATTTGCTAAGCTCACAAATGCTCTGTCGATCTCCCCTATGCTCCACTTATCCGAAACTTGACACAACCCCTTTAGGTGCTTCTTGAAGTGATACCAAACTTCTTGACAGAACGACAGACGACGATTGTGGTCAGTTGGATCGAAATTGTCGCGTAGCGGGGAGAGGAACACCGCGCACGAACGAATGTGACAGAATGCAGCAGCAAGTAAGAAATATGGGAACAAGAGAGTTGACAGTAGAATCATGCCTAAAATGATAATCACATATCACAGTCACAAATGGTCCGAGACAGCCGCGTTCGGCGAATCGATTACTTAGAACCGATACAACTGTCTGTCTCCCACAGACGACAGATAGACATACAGGCGCGAATAACCACTCACTTTTGAAATAAGAAATGCTTCAAGTGTGTACTTACGTACAGTACTCGCCGTTAGAACTCGAAAATTCTCGAAAACACGGCGAACTCGCGTCTTTTTCGTCTTTTCTCCACGAATCGGTTCGGGTTGAATCCAGCTCGTCGAGCTATAGTGAAGTGTTTAAAATGCTTTGTTTTGGATTGCGCCATGCACTTCAGTTCCACCCGAAATGTAATTGCATGTACATGGGGTGCACGCTTTAGTGCTTGTAG